TGTGGTCTCTTTCTCTTTCTCTTCCCCTGCCAGCCTAGCCGCTGTCCGGGCCACCTAGACAATTGCCCGTGTTGTCTCCCGCAATGGCGTCCGTGTTGGCTTCGGCGTCGGCGCCGGCGTCGGCGTCAGCGTCGGCGGCTGCCTTTCACATCATTTATCCTTGTTAATTTTTATTTAGCAAGCTGAAGGAAATCACGACACGCTCGCTGTCCGTATCCGGCGAACTGCAGCTCCTGAGCGATTGAGCCGTAACCTGCGTTGACTTGTTTACGTGTTTGCGCTGTTGCTGTTCATTTTGCAGCTAGCACAGATACTTTGTGTAGTTGATTGTTGATCTTGATGCTATTGTCAGTGGCACATCAAGTCATCCGAGCAAACAGGTTGAGAGCTCCCTGCTTGTAGCGGAAGACACGAACTGGTTTAAGGCGAGAGATTTAATTGTTTTAGTTAGTCTGTGTAGAAGGATTAAGTCAAAGAGCACGAGTTGTGCAAAAGGAGGCAAATAGCACGTAGTTTAAATAAATGCCAATCAAAGCTTTAGCGACTGCATCACAAATCTTAGATTTGGCCAGTTAAAAGTTTCATTATCTAGATAATATCAATATCGATTACACTACGCGATTTGATTTAAAATAGAGATTTAATTAAGTGCGTTTAAATTTGATTTGATTTCGATTTGATGGCGTCTCAGTTACCGAAAACAAAGTAATTACTTCATTCATCAAAACGTTTTCTTTATATTTTGGCCCCATACTACCAGTTAAAACGATATTTATTTTGATGCTGATTTCAATTTGATTTAAATTCATTTTTAATGTGGTATTTCACATATTTTCATGGGGTATGCTCGTGGCTTACTATACAGAGCATGGTAATTCCTTCAAATATTTTCCATAAGACTATAAGTTCAAATTATAATGAAATAGAATCAAAAACATTAAATGTAAACTTTTCCAGATTCCTTTTCTTATGCCAGCAAAAAAAACCGCTTACCTTATACAATCCATTAAGGGTATCCTTGGCCCAGATTGACATCAGGTCAAATAATTTTCTCATTTCGAATGATGTAACTAGAAAAAATTACTTGCGTTTATATAACGATAATTTGAAAAGGCCCATCTGCGCTCATTTATCAAAAACAGACAGCGACAAACCTTTAGCCAAGTTTCCAAGCCATTTGCCATACCCACGTCGACCGGGAGCTGCAGAGACAGAGGCAGAGGCAGAGGCTTATCAATTGCATTTGGGCCCAGAGCCGCAGTTGGCTCCATAAGTTGGCAAAAGTGCTGGCTAAAATAAAAGGGGAATAGAAAATCTAAAGCATTTAACTTGCAATGACAGCGCTCCCAAACCCAGCAGCTAATGGTCAAAACTTATCGTCAAACTTAAATGGGATTTTATTATCGCAGCCAAAACTTCTTTTCATATGCCACGCAGCGGAGGCTGCTGCAAAAAATGGGAAATAACAAAAAAAAAAAAAAAAAACATGAAAAACACCATAAAAATGGGCGAGGTCTAAGAGTTTTCGCAAGTGCCAGTCGTGGGGGCGTGTTTTATATTTTTTTATAGCTGCCACGGCTAATGTGCTGATTTATATATTAACCATAATTCCGAGTGTAATTATAATGCACTTTGTTCTCATAGATGTTGCTGTGGTTATTCTGGTTGTTCTTCTTTTTGGGGGCAACCTTCATAAATCTTTGTGGCATGCACTTGTCAGAATTGCGTTGAGCAGTCTCTTTTAATTAACTTGAGAATTGCTTAATTATAAAATAACAATTGCATCAAATAAAAATTGAAAAAAAAACAAGCAAACAACAACGCATATCAAACGAGTTCACTCAAAGTTGCAAGTTGCACTTGCAACGAGTCTGATCATCATGTGAGCGTCAGTTGCATCTCGTCGCGGTTTATGTTTTTGTTTCGGCGGCAGTTGCGCTTGGCCTGGCAATTAATGTCAATCACTTAGCTCCCATACGAGTTACACAGAGCAGACCGAAGAGACACCAATTTGGCTATGCGAGCTATGCAAGAATGGAACCTCATTTGCTGTACTTCTTTCCAAGCTAATAACGATGCACCTTCTCATAATGAGCTTGCGGCTGCAGGTGTGTGTGTGTGTGTGTTATAGGTACTTTGAAATATTTATTTTGGTAAACAGGTTAAGCTGCTCCGAACTTAGACAAATTAAAATCCCAACCTTTTAATGTCAAATCAATTAAACTGTTTTGTGCACTTGCCTAAAAATTATGAAGCACAAATTCTTGATTTGGTGGTCAAAATATATTGGCTGCCAGCAGTATGCTTACTTAAATGATACAACGAATTTTTTATAAGAGTCATATAAAATGTTAATTTTGTGAATTATATTATCTTAATTTGTAAAGAAATTTACACTTTATTGATATTTCAGAAAACTGTATCGTTTCTCATGTTTTAAAATAATTTATTAATATTACCAGTACATGAGAATATCATATTTTCACATAAAGAACACAGATAATCTAGTTGCAGCTATTACAAAATTTTGTTCATTTGCATTGTTACTAATAAATAACGTATATGAACAAGCAGTTGACCTTACCACACGTATGCATACTTCACAGTGGCACTGTATGCTAGTTAAATTAGTTAATGAGCGCCGCGTCATGAAAAACCACAAAACCTAAAAAAGAAATAACTCAAAAAACATAAAAAAAAAAAATTGAAAATAAAAACAAGAATGCCAGTGGCAGTGGCAGCGAGTTTAAGGTGCGGATATTGTAGCCGTTGACTTTGAATGCATTCGTAAAGTGGCAACAAATTGGCAACGAGACACAAACAGCCCAACAACAACAACAACAACAGCAGCAGCAACAACAACAACAAGAGCTACGGCTAACAAACATGTTGATACAGGCACAGAAATTTGTTTCTACAATTGTTGGCAACATTGAACTTTAAATGGTAGCAACAACTGGCAAAGCCACATGTGATTGCAATATCCATTGTTGTTGCGAGTTGTGCGGCTGGCTGAAACATTTTGCGTATCTTGTGACGACATCAATGCCCCACAATCCAAAGTCAGAGGCGAGTCGCAGGCGCATCACGTCACGTCAATGATGCGGCATAAAAATCATTTCGATTTCGATATTGATTTCGATTCCGATTGGCTTTTCCAAAGTTGAAATTAATTAAAGTACAACATCAAAGTTTGTTGATACAAACAAGCGGCAAATGCCGAGAGTCGGACACCTTGACACCTCATGCCGAGTGCCTCTTCATGACCTTCACTCTTGATAAATGATGGGCGTCTCGAATGGCAACTCAAAACCGCCAATTGAAATTTGCTACAATTTTAATTTCAGTCTACAAGAAACAAGAAACAACATTTATGTTGGCATTTAAGTGTTATGCCAATTATTAAAAATAGAGCTAAAAATAAAAATTACGAACATATAGAAACTAGCCGAAACCTGTACACGCTTGCATTTGGGTACCAATGAGTGCGCTTAAAACAATAATTGGCTTAAGAGCTCGAAGTCACAAGCAAAACTTGAAAGCTTGAGAGCATGAGCTTCAGAATTTCTTTCGAAAGGCAATTAGTTAGGTTTTATCAAGGCTGAAAACCTAGAGACTATTTTAGAAGATTCGGCCTGCGGGTCGCCTTAAGATTCGGTTTGTGAACCTACATTGGATTTAACAGATTAGTGAAGTGTATAGACAATTTGTTATGGAAGATAGACTTTTTTCCTTCTGATTAAAAACCACTAAATGATCCTATTTTAATACTCTGCACGCATTGCTTCAGTGAATAAACGTTCTCAAAATCTATAAAATAAAAAAAAAAACCGCAATGCGGAAGGCAAAAGGTCAGTGACAAGGCTGGAATAATTGTTAAGTATTAATTTTAAATTTTGACGCACGCATTTAATGTACAATAACAAAAACAAAAACCAAAAGTAATTGAACAATTATAAGGCTTTAAAAGTCAATTATGGTTGCAATTGAAGCGTAAACGTAGCGCATCTGCCAATTGAAGGTTTTCCTAGTCTCTAAATCCATTGAAAGTTGTGCAATTTGTCAATTGACCGGAACCAGTGAGCCCCTCCTTCACCCTCTCCCTCGCTCCTCACGCGCGGAGTGTTAAATATTGTTAATGCTTTGTCGCTTACAAAGTGCGTACTCGTTTATAATTTTAATTGCGGTTCATTCGGCAATGATTGACTATTTCGTTGTTTTCCATAACAACATTTGCTAATGAAAAATGCAGGAAAGTTGTTTGTTTTTATTGTTTAATTCTATAAATATTATAATTGGATTCGCATTTTTTTGTTATATTGCACATTGATGAGACAAACTTGTTGTTTGTGTGTAAATTGCATTGGTTTTCGTAAAAGTGAGTGAGTTAATGACAAAAACGCAAGGTTCCCAGCTGAGGAACCAAGGATTTAACAATCTTAAATTACTATCGGTAATAATTCTATATTTTGTGAAACAAGGATTTAATTTAACAACAATAGATTCTTAATGAGAATAACGCGGAGAAAAATAGCAAGAATTTAACATTTTTTTTGGTTAAGTTATTTAGAAGATCTTAATGAGAATTAGAAGTAATGAAAGTATGATAATAAATAGTACAAAATAATAACAACAAAAATCAGAATGTGAACTTCTTTTTTTGGAATAGTTAAAGAATTAATTTGTGAAAAGTTATACAACCAATAACATCTAAATGAATTTCAAAATATATCTGTAAAATAAAATATGCCGAAATTCTTACAATAGAGTGAAATAATATTAAATATATTTATTTATTTTGCTCAGACATTTTTGAAGACTCAATCAAATAAACGCTAAATCTTAATTTTTAAGTAAATTGCCTTAACTTCTTTGTAAATCGTTCAGTATAATTTAAAAATGCATTATTCTAAAACTTACACACATATCCAGTGATTGCACATCTGTCCACTTGGTTTCGGCTTTATTTTCGGTTAGATTTCCTGTTCCTGTTCCCGTGCTCAGTGCCTCGTTGTGCCGCTCTCGAAGCTAACGTCCGCATGGAAGCCCGTATCGTCTGCATGATAAATCACGTTCTGGACGCGTCCATCTGGCAATAAAATGTGATATTGACCGCGTGTCACGCCATGCAAATCCCTATTTTGATTGTGGCCAAAATCGTTACCAGTATGGAAATCACGTATGCGATAGCCAAAGGCATACTTTGAGGCGTACTGATGCAGCTGCAATGAAGAGCAGAGGGTGGGTACCAAGGATGGGAGCGGGTTTAGTTTAAGCTAGTTCAATTTGAGTGCATATAAATATATATGTGAACATATATATGGTATAATGGTAAGCCGATAGGTACCATTGCCAGAGCTGACAACTCGTGCGCATGCCGAAATGAGCATAAAAAATGCAAAATGTATTAAGGCCACTGTCGTCTACAGTGAAGACTGGCAACAAATGCAACGGCAACAACAACCACTCTGGCATTTACAAATATAAAAAAACTGAAAGATGTTTGATAAGACGAAGCTTGTATGCACTTAATGTATAATGGAGATCTAACTTCAATTATTTGAGAGCTATCAATTGCATCCATTACGCAAATTGAATTAATTCCGATTAGAGGTAGCCCAGCGAAACAAAAATAATTTATTAGGTTTCTTTTGTGTAGATCTTTTAAACAATTATTCATATTTGACTCCTTTTATTCGAAATAAGAATCTCAGTACTAAGTATCTTAAGTTAACGTTAAATTATTAAGTAAATTATCTTATCTCTTCTCACTTTAATCGATTAATGTAGATTTACAAAATTGTCTTTTGAAATACCTCTCCTAAACTGTACCGTGCTCAAAAGCCAACATACCCATTCAAAGGGTATAACAATGCAGGACAAAAGACAAGGAAGTTTCAGACTAAGATGGCGGCTGTCAGATATTGTTGTGCGTGTGTGTATTTGCGGGTGGGTTGGGAGGTGCTCGAAGCTGACTGTCATTCGCATGGCGCTTTACTATGCATGTGATTGTAAATTGTATTGAGGCAGGCGTGTGCTTAATGAAATTTGCAACAATATAGAAAAACGACGAATGCGCCAATATCGCCTACAACCCATGCCACACTGTGGCAAGCCCCTTCCCGACACCACCGCGGCGTGATTTCATTTCTGTGCGCTGCATAGATTTTTTTTGTAGATGTCATCCAGAATTTTGGTGTTGCCTTTTTATTGTAAGTATTTTCGCTGGTAAACATTTCAAGATGAAATAAAATATTTTTCACACATTTTAGCATGTTATCCTGTGTGCGCCCCCGCCCGCGCGTGTATGTGTGTGTGTGTGTGTTGGTGGTTTGTGTGTGCGCGTTTCCGTTTCCTGAAACTTGGAAATCTCGTTGTCGGCTCGACAATTGTCACAACTTTCGCTACATGTTTCGGGGCTGCTTTTGTGGTTTCTGTGTGTGCGTATGTGTTTTTGTTGGGGGCGTGGCAAACTTTTTGATATGTTAATGAGTTGTAAATTAAGTTTAATTAAGTTACATTGTTGTTGCCAGCCATTTTTCTTGTCAACTGCGGCGAAGGCAGGCAAAACTCTGCATGCCCATGCAAACTTTTGGCGCGCTTTGGCAAATTTATGTGTTTTGTAGCTTTGTGTCATAGTAGAAACGTGTAGGGGGCTGGGCGGGGAGCTCTTCAAATTATTCTCGAGTGTTATGTTGTCATTTGTATGCCTCACTCGGCTTAGGAAAAGCTTGATTGCAACTAAGAGATCTGTTCGTGAGCGAAAAACGAACTTAAGAATCTCAGATATTTCTAAAGTCGTAAATCTAAAATACATTTTTATATTGACTTGGGGCTTTTCATCTCTTTTTTTTACTTTTTAACTGACTTTCTGTTTAGTTTTCTTGTTTTTTATTTGTAAATTCTTTCAAATATCTTAAGTAACAATAAATAGTTAACTCTGCTCAAGGAATTTCGTGAATTTTTTGTAACTCTCCCCAACTCACACAATTAAAATTCACTGGTATCTCACTTCTCCACTTTCTGTTCATTCTTTCTCATCTTTAAACCGCAAGTGCATTTATTATAATTAAGAATTTCTGCGCTACAGCAATTTGCTAATATCTGCGCTTAAATTTTTATCGTTCTTCCCTTTTAATGAAATGTAAAAAAATATTTCTGCAGCCCGCGCATTGTTGCTGCATAGTAGTTTGCAGGAACAGGAACCGGAGCGGGAATGGGAACGGGAACAGAGCGCGGCGAGTCCTTCATTAACAGCGCGGCAAAATGTTAATAGATTTTTGACGTGCAAAGCTGCCCCAAACCACAATGCATAGTTTTTCTTTTAATCATCGGGCAAAGTGCGTGCTCGACTAATAAACACCCTCTGCACAATAATATATAATCTATACATGTGAAATTATAAAATCTACGATCAAAACGATCTTATTAAAAAATGCATTTAAATATTGCTATGCTTTAAGCTATAAATATTTAAAAAATTAAAAGATTAAAGTGTTGTTAGTTTAACAGCAAATGTTTTCATTCTTTGACACCAAACGTTTCGCCCCTCTGCATCAAAATTCTATAGGGTATATATATTGTCATAGACAATAAACCGCATTGCCAGCGAATATGTAAATTTCCTTCGATTTTTTTCTTTTCTATTGCCGCGGCATGGTCAGGGCAGACAAGCAATTTATTACGAGGTGCTGCAGTCGGAGAATTTCATTACAAATTTGATTTGATTAAATGAACATAATTACAATGCAGATGAAACATGATGAGAGCTGGTCAAACGTCAACCACTCGCCCCCACCTCAGCGAGCAGGTGTAGGGGGTGGCACATGGGGAAGGCGGCAAGAATAATTCGCTCATGTAAGCACTGGTCAATGTTTGCCTTTCAAAATGTGACATTCGGTTGGGCAAGGAGGGGGCAATGACTAAATCACATCACGTGCCATATTGAAAAAAGGGCTTGCGTACACATATTTTTTGTGCCAACTGTAAATCAGCATTCGTTTGATGATGTTGATCAGAGCTGAAGCCCAGACAACAACAGCAACAACAACAACAACAACAATGTTGACGATGACGATGCAATTTTTCTGTGACTGTAAATTGACTTGGCATTAGATGCAGACGAGCAGGGTATATATATATAAGTATATATATATATATATATATATATATATATATATATATATATATATATATTTATTTATATTTGTAGGTAGAGTAATGTCAATGTCAACAGGACGGAAGCAGGCACTTGGCTGGCTTAAGAAAAAAATATGACAAACAGTTGGTCTCTCACGGAATTTATTAGAAATTGCCTTTGGCATTGGCTCGGACATTTCGCAGGCACTTTGGGACAACACATTTTGCATTAAACACGTTTCACCAAAAGTGCTGGCGAATTGTGAGCCGAGTCGAGTGCAAAATGCAATTTGAGGCCATAATACGTGAGTTCGTTTAGTTTTGCTCAGTTAAGTGCGGGTGGAATGGTGTACTAAGCGCCCGCAGAGGACTGGGTGAGCACAGTGGGATATGGGTAATAAACATTAACATTAACATATCATATGAATTTAAAGGCATAGGTTCAAGTTAAGTGGGGTTGGATGAAGAAGTTTCTTCTAGAATTTCCTGGGTTTTCCTTTAAAGACAGCAGTTTATTATGTTATGTAGATGATTTAAAAAGCGGAGTCATTCCCTGGCCTTGCCCGTGGCAAGTATTTTGCTTCGAATTTTAGATACAACATTTTCACCCATATCCCGCCCGAGGAAAATAAAAATCTATCTATACAGGTTCAAGTTCTAGTGCACTGATTCAAATATTCACCGAGGGTTAAATATCACATCGCTTATTTGGCCGTCACTTGACAACTCTTTTAACAATTTTATCGATGGATGATTTGTGTTGCCGCTCGATTTCGCCCACGGTGCGTTGGGGTCAGCCTAAAAGTATGCATTGGCAATTTGAAAGTGTGATGCCAAGCAGCTTTTTGCCGCGTGCACACAGAGCACACAACTTTTGGGAAAGCGATATGCAGTCACAACTTCTTATAGCTCAAGACCCTCTGCTACGCTAGCAACAACCGAAGGTCCCAGTTCATAACAAGTTGCACAGCAACTTTTATAACTAGACGCGTTTTTTGCCCGTTTTTCGCACTTGTTTTTCCCACACATTTTAGTCAATGGGTGTCGGGTAGGAGAGGTGGGCGGGGCGGGGCTGAGCAATGCCTTTGACGCACTGAAAATTATATGCCATTGGACGCGCTCAGGCTTTTATTTCTTTTGATTCGCATATAATCAGCATTGTTGTTGATTTTCATTATGCGCTCTGGATTGGAGTTTCCGTTTCAGGCAAGTGGCGCCCCTTTCTCCTATGGTCCTGCCCATTTGTTAGCCACTGCGTGGCTCATTAAAATCGTTTTGCTTTTGTTCTGCCTGCGGCTGCCTCTGCCGCCCCGCTCCACTGCCTTCTGCTTTGTGTGGTGCTGTTTGTGGTTAACTCATTGCCGTTGGGCAGGAACTTAACTCAACTCATCTGAACTCGACTCAACTCAATTCGCTTTCATCATTTGACCGCAAAAATCAGCATGCGGCCTAATGATTTATTTTGCTTATCGGCTAATTGAATTTATTGTGATTTTGACAAATTTTCTTCCCTGACAACTTTTGTGGTTAGACCACTGCTGGAAATTAAAGAAGTTTTAAATTGGAAATTCTTTTATGACTAAATGTTGAGAAAAGAAATAAATCCCCTACACATATCAGTCATCATTGAATCTTCTCTTTAAGCTAAACTAATGTTACATTAAAAATTAAATTAAGCTGCTTATATTAGCGACATAAGTATATTAAAATGAAATCCAAGGTAACTATTCTATTCGCAGTGGAAACTTTACTAGTGGTATTCCTAAGAGGCAGGCATAAAGGTCGCTCGTAATACTAATCCGTGTTGGTAACTAATGTTATATCTATGGCAACCTCAGTGCTTCTTTTATTATTCACACAATTCGTTTAAGCGCTGTAAAACACCTCGCACCGACCACTGCCAGAAACCTCAAGGGGCTCATGGGCAAGCAGAGAGCCAAGGCACTGAGATAGAGCATGGGGCTTAGGGTTGGGGGAAAAGCGGAGGCATCAGTGGCAATTGCAGTAGCGGCTAGCTGCATGCTCATTTAAAATTGAACAAATGTTGGCTTGGTCACTCTCTCACTCAGGAACACTCAACAACACTTACACCCGCACACAACAGGGCACACTCACACACTCGCAGATGGGCGGCCACAGGCGCCACAGAAAGCCGGTCGTTGTGGAGTGGACCAAAAAAGCAAGCCAAATCGCATTTAAATGGAAATAAGTGTTGTGTCCAAACAATTTACAAAAACCAATTTTACAATGTAATGCGTTCAGAGTTGGCGCATCAGCCAGCCAGTGTGTGTGTGTGTGTGTGTGCCTGGTCAGAACGTGTTCAACAGCAGGCTATGAATGTCCTGACGTACGTCCTGACGTTGGCGACTCTGGGGCGCCTTTTGGCCGCCGATGCCACACGGCAGCCATTGACACAATTGCCAGCAACATCACAGTCCAAAAGTTTTGCACACAATTATGAGGCTAGGCGCTGATTATGGCACCAGTTCCCAAATCAGTGCCAGCTTCAGCTTTGCCTTTCAAAATTGTTGTATAATTCTTGCGGAGTCGAAAATGTTGGAGCCAGTGCAGCAAGTGGTAAAAATTTTAAATGCAATCTCTGAGCCCTCTTCCCTTAAAAAAAAAAAACCCGCCACACCCACGGCAGTCCCCTGCAGCCACATACAGTTTTTATGGCTGGCTTGTTAGCAATTTTCGCTCGAGTTATGAGCAGGATGCGCATTTTGGGGGCTTATAGGTGGTCTTTAGTCGTATGGCGAGAGGGGCGCTCAGTGTTATGGCAATGGGGGTGGTCCAATGCTAACCAAAATTGAGTTATCAGTTTGTTGGCTCTGCTAGCAAATGTGCTTGGGCTGATTGCGTGACAGCTGCTGCTGCAGAAGAAGTTGAAAAAATAGCGTCCAACTAACTGATTTGACAGAGGAGCAGGCAAAATGTCAAACTACGTGATTTTTATGCGAATGTGACAGTCGATACGCAGGCGGAGAGAAAGAGACAGAGAATCAGAGAGACATCTATATAGTGAGAGATAGAGAAAAAAAAAAAACAGGAACAGAAACAGGAGCCAACGGGCATTGGCATGGGTATAATTTTTTATCAGCTTCTTCCACCCCCTTTATATAGAGTTATATATATATATTCTTTTGCTACCGAAATATTAGCCTGCAGTTGAGTTAGCTGAGTTTCAGCTGCGGTTTATTATGTGAGCGAGTGAAGTGAAGCTAATTTAAAGTCAATGTTGGGCTAGGGCGAACTTTTGGGCACTGCTGAACTAGCGTTAAGTTAATATCTGGATTGCGCCAGGCAAATGATTTCCCAGGGTCTCATTTTGCATGCCACTTGAATTTAAGCATCGCAGCGTAAACCAAGAAATTGATGAGCGACCGCTGAAAGTAATGGCAGGGTCAAGCATAGGGCACTCAAAATGTTTAACTGTTAAGAATAATAGTAACATATACGTTATAGGGGCAAGTTTAAAGTAAGATTACGTTATGTAAGATTTGCATAGATAATACAGATTTTCGTTTTTCCCTTATACTGATATCAATACATAGTATTAAATATTACATATTTGCTTAATTAAACAAAAGTAAAAGCTGTCTTGTCTAATTTAGAATACTTAGTAATAATAATGATAGTAAAATACCTAAAATTAACAATAATAGAAGTACTAATTATCTTACTAAGATTAGGTATCAGCTAAAATTTTCAGAAAAGCGGAACTTCAATATTTTTTGTTTAATATTTTTCTTAGCATGTGCAAATTATCATCCCCAAAAAATAGATCCTGTTTATTTATATAACTTATATTTTAAAAGAGCCAAATATCGGCACTAAAAAAATTATTTAACCATTGTATGTTTAGTTTGACTTCGCCATTTTTTTCAGTTTTCATACCCTGAACCCATTAAAAATGGGTATAAGGGACTATTGTATTTGTGCAAAATCTAAATGTATGTAACAGGCAGAAGGAAGCATCTCCGACCCTATAAAGTATATATATTCTTGATCAGCATCAATAGCCGAGTCGATCTAGCCATGTATGCATTTGATGTTGAATGAAAGGGGTTCAGGTTATCCCCTAGTCGGGAGCTCCCGACTAGAGCCTCTTACTTACTACTTAATATTTCTTGAAGCACTTTATTGAGTCATTGTTAAATTGTTTGCCTAAGCCCACTTTGACAAAGCCTAAAGAGCACCCACTATAAATGGCACATTAGGAACATATGCTGGCGGATGTGTGCTCGAAAACCTTAAGCCCGGACCCACCCCTGGGTGGAAGAGTGCTCGTAAAGTAGCTTCAACCTTTTTCTCTCCTCTATGTGGCAAGTCCCCAAGCTAAAACCTTTTGTCGAGTGCTTTCCAATGCCAAACACCAAACTAAGCAATGCACATATGTCCTCCCCCGGCAGGCTCCATTAAATAAAAGTTATGTACCCACCGCTCCGGCAGGGCCCCAACCAGTACTTGACAAGGTCTTTTCAACATTTGGACAAAAATGTAGCTTTACAATAAGAAAACAAGAGGAAAATAATAATAAAAACAGCAAAAGGGTTGAAATAAAAATGGAATTAAAATATGTGAGTTAGTCCCTGGAAAATATTGCACCTGCAGCTGGCCACATTGGGCAGGCTCAAGCAGCAGGCAATTGCCCAAAACACACACCCATCAGCACACACACACACACACACATACACAGACACACACACACGAACACACACATACATAGCCAAACAATTTGAGCGGCCATTACCAACCATTTCGACCACAATAAAATGACAAATGCCCGAAAAATCTGACCATGTTCGCTCACGTTGCCAAATGGTTACGGCAACAGAGTCCTGCCTCAGCTCCTGTTCCGTATGAAGCTCATGCTCCAGCTTTTGTGTGGCAGCTGCTGTCAAACAAGTCCCGTGACGAGCATTGCAACGGCATGTCCAAAGTGGAAGAGTAGGGGCCGTGTGCTCCAGACCAAACTTGAGCCTAACAAGTGTCGTTTGGCTGTCAGAGCTGGACAGACAGACAGGCAGCCAGCCCGGGCAGGCAGCAGAACCTGGCAGCTTGCCTTCATGCTCATCAGGCATCGGCGTTTGAGAGTGTGGAAGGGCGGGAACAGTTTCACAGACAGTGAACGGTGGATACTAAGCCCAGCGTTGACGACAACAGGGACAACCAGGCCTAAAGCCTATTAAAAATCATGCTAAACGGCAGTAAAACAATGTGTGGACTGGTCCGGTCAGTTAGGGTATGTGGGCCAGTTGGGAGAGGTGGATCTGGACTTGTTTACTGCCTGCTTGCACTTTGGCACCCTGTTAATGCGCATTAACAACCAAGTTATGTAAGTGGAGTTGCCGCTCGCTTTGTGCCAATAAATAAAATTTAATCAGCTTTTGCAGTTGCCAATTAAAACAGAAAATCAAATTAAATGACGAGTAAAATGCCAACGAATTTTGTTGCACGGCTCGAAAACAATTTTAAGTCGATTTGCGACGCGAATCGCGCAACTGACAGCTGCAACTTGTGCTTTGGTTGTTGTTGTTGCTTATTGCAGTTGCACTTTTGCCTGTTTATGGCACAACGACGTCAACTTCTTAGCTGCTTTCTTTTTTCGCTCCTGTCTGCAACTTTGTGCTTTCTGCTCGCTGAATTTCTCAGAATGTCAGTGACAGCTGACTGGAAACATCCCCCTCACCCCTTCACAACTGCATCGAACAGCTTGAAAGGCAACATGTCTTATGCCATAAACGTAAGTATATGCATTAGGTTAATAAAGAAAATTTATATAACATTTATGCATAATACTTAAGATTCCCTTTAGTTCCAATAAGAATTATTTATAAGACATTAATCGTTATAAAGATTATAATAATAGCTCCCCGATCTCGATGTTCCATAGATGCGAGTAATAAATTTTAATAAGAAATTAATATTAATAAAGTTAATTGCTAGAGGAATAGTTATAATAAAATTAAGTAATAGCTAACTAAAATGAATAAAAGTATTATAATATAATATTATTAAAAAACAATCATAATCATAATTATATATTTAATGATAATGCTAAGAAGTAGAAACATAAATAAATAAATAAATATATTTCCTTTCCTAGTTTAATAATTTTTAGAATTAAATAATTTAATTGAAGCATCCAGCATCGCCCACGGATGACATTTAAGGCATTCATCCATTTAAATCTATTAATAATAATTGTTTTTCCGAATGGGGAAAAAACAAAAAAAAAACTATTTTCACTCAGTTTGAATTTCTCAGGAAATTTTTTTGATCAACTCATCCTTGAAAATTTACCGACCTAGTTAAGGCTTGGAGCTGCTACAAAATATTTATCAGATGTATTTTAGTTGCTGGCCTGCACAGAACAGACTTCCAATTTTGATTTAATAACAAAAACTGAAAAAAAAACCTAAATTATCTTTTGTGAAACAATTTTTTCTTTCCTTTTGTGATACTCAATTCTGCTAAGTCGTGTCAATAATTTTTTTTATATCCAAATTCCAAATTTTTGTAAAGAATAAATTAATCTCAAGATGAAGCACATGAACCGAAACACCATCCGCAGCTTCCTGAGCCTGCGCAGCGTTGCACGTTTGATTAATGTTCGTTATGCCTGTGAGACTTCAACCGTTGGAGGCAAGGGTGTAGTGGTCGGTATTTATCTGAAGGAGGGCGACAAGGATCCCAAGTTTACGCCAAGCGGCGAGAAATTGAACGACCGCACTAGCGGCAAGCTAAGACAGCTTATCTGCGAAACGAAAGTAGATGGTCGTCTGGGACGTGGCCGTGTCTTCAATAACATTGATCCAGACTTTAGCTCTGTCGCCGTTGTGGGCGTGGGCATCGAAGGTATTGGTTTTAATGAGCTGGAGATGCTCGACGAGGGCATGGAGAATGTGCGTGTTGCTGCAGGAGTCGGTGCACGCTCTCTTCAGGAGCAGGGCTGCCACACTATCGCTGTAGATGGCATGGACTATGCAGAGCAAGCGGCCGAGGGCTCATCGCTGGCCGTTTGGAGATTTTCTGACAATATGAATAAAAAGAATCGTTTGATAACTCCCCGCTTGGAACTGTACGACTCGGCTGACATGGACGGCTGGACGCGAGGCATTTTCAAGGCAGAGTCCCAGAATTTGGCCAGACGTCTCTCAGACGCTCCAGCCAATTGCATGACGCCAACAATGTTCGCCCAGGCCACAGTTGACGCCCTGTGCCCCTGTGGCATTACCGTCGAAGTACGAACAATGGACTGGATTGAAATGCAGCGCATGCATGCGTTCCTTATGATTGCCAAGGGCAGTTGCGAGCCTCCGGTTCTACTGGAGATCAGCTATTGCGGCACTGCGCCCGAGGACAAACCAATTCTGTTTGTTGGCAAGGGCATCACCTTCAACTCGGGAGGTATCAATCTGCGCCCCTGCAAAGGCATGGATGAATACCGCGGCAGCATGTCGGCAGCCGCTGCGATCATTGGCATGATGCGTTGCATCGCGGCTCTCTCTCTACCTATCAATGTGACCTGTGTTATCCCACTGTGTGAGAACATGCCCTCGGGCATGTCGGTGAAGCCTGGCGATGTGGTCACCATGCTGAATGCCAGATCAATGGCTATTCGTGACGTGGACAAGGCTGGCGTGGTAGTAATGGCAGATCCCCTGATCTATGGACAAACGACATACAAACCACGCCTGGTAGTGGATGTGGCCGCCCTTGGCATGGGCGTTAAGAAAGCGTACGGCGGCGGTGCTTCTGGCATCTTCTCCAACTCGCATTACGTCTGGAAACAGTTCCAGCGTGCTGGCTCCCTGACTGGTGATCGCCTTTGGCGCATGCCCCTCTGGCAATACTACAAGAAACAAGTGAGTGACGAGACTGGCTACGATCTGAGCAATGATGGTCGTGGCAATGCCAGCTCTTGCTTGGCTGCTGCTATTCTCCACGAGCTGGTTCCTTGCGCCGATTGGGCTCACATTGATACTCGAGGCACAGGCCTACTCACAAAATTCGGCTTGGTTCCCTATCTGACGGCTCGTTACATGACTGGCCGCCCCACGCGCACCTTGGTGCAATTCGTGTACCAGATGGCTTGTCCCGAGATCAAGTAAGGCGTCGTCTGTATTGTTTGTGAACAGAATAAATTGTTAATATGAGAAAGTGAATGAGAATTGAACGTTACTGTATTCGAGCGACTGTTACTATCGGCCAAAAAATAAATTCTATAAATTAACCGAAAAATCGAATTGCTATTTTCATTCAAGAAACCAACCCAGCTAATTGCAGTGTAATATTGTTACATTAAGACGATTAAGAATAATTGTGTGGACAACTTTGACTGCCTTTCCTCTGGGCCACAACGCATTGGGTGTCCAAGGTGAGACAATTGAATATTTTCCGTCAGGGCTTCAATTGATTTTTTTATGGTAATCCTAGTTACGCGCATATTGGCGTATTCATTGATTCTTCCTTCTACTATTTATAAGTATCATATATATAATATGATACTTGTGCTTTTGTGGCTTGCCTTTGCATTGCCACAATATACATCTTAAAGATACATTTCAATGGACACATACACATAGTAAATGCCGCTGCTTTCAGTCTGGGCATAAAAAAGCATTTAAATTAAATGCAAGTCACCGTTGTACCGCAAACATGGCGAAACTTTTGCAACGCTGAAAAAGGCATTTTAATTTCGCTCAGACGAGAAAATAAAAAAAAAAATAGATAAAAATAAAAACGAAGATAACGAAAGTAGAATCCAGAAAGTTGCCGCCCCCAAATGCAATCAAGTGCACATGAAGGCGTGGCTTTGCCTTAAAAATTTGCTAAAAACGTTTCAAGTGTTCGAGCTGATCCAAAAGGAATACACACCGTGTATACTCCCCCTCGTACATCTCGTATCAATTGGGTTCGGTGCGTCAAGCGGGGCAGGGCAGACAATGCCACAATCTACAGACTGCAGTCTGCAGTCTGTAGTCCGCTTTCAGGCGCATCGCAATGAAAGACGAAGTCGTTTGCATTGCTTTGTGGCCGCAACCAGGTAGCAGACGGCGCAAGGTTTGAGTTTGGGTTCGGGCTAACGACATTGAAAATGCTTGTCGAACTTGAAAATTATTCGATTAAGTGCATTACCGGCGAGACATGGATCGGCAATCAAACTGAATTGCACACAGTCCCTAGCCCAAACCCCAGTCCCAGTTCCATTCCCAATCCCAGTCCCATCTGTGGTAACGCAGAGCGAGGAGTGGGGCCTTGCTGCAGGCGCTTCATTGTTGTGACTGCGACATTGTCGTGTCTGGGGAGTTGCTGCCAGTTGTTGCTCGGGCAGTTCGCCTTATTTATGTTGATTGTGTTTTTGCCTATGCCAATCAATGGAGCACACTTTCGGGCGCGTTAAGCCTTTGTGGCGCGCCCCAAGGTATGCTTTAATTTAATGCATTGTCATTGCCAGAAAGGCCGCACGTTGAAGCCAGGCGTTAGCGGAAATGCTGCAATCGATTCCATTCCATTTTCATGTTAATTTTTATGCATTCATAAAACTGGTAAGAGTGGCCTGCAAAAAGGCTGTGCCAGACATAAGCGACATCTAGGGCCTATATAATGTAAATACATATATTTATTTACATACGAGAAGTGTGTTTTTTACATGTACTTGTGCGAAAGTCGCTTTGTACGAAAAACTTGTACCGATTCCATTACGAACGATGTTACCCGAGACTTTTCCCGAACTTTTTAATTTTTCATAGGTAGATGGCGGCGAAGAAGAGAGAGTGATGTTTTATTAATCGATTACATTTTAGCCCAGCAACGCATTTTGTAGGGTCGAAATCACTTTCAAAATCGAAACGGATAAAAAAAGATGTGAAATACAAAACAGGGAAAAATTGCCGTGCAGTAAAAGTAATTTGAGAAGGTTTCCCAAAACAAATTATATACTGGAGGTGGCACTGTTTTAAGACCGTCGTGCTATGTAACTATCGGGCAAACACAAATTTGAATTGGGACCAGAAATCTAAAAAATTAATGGCCACAAATATTTGTTATTGCTGTCTCGGTATTCTGCTCACATTTATAAGCCTAGCAAATCTTATAACTATCTTTAAAAAAGATGTTTTGTAACCGAAGTTTCCCTTTTACATATTAAAGATGAAATATTTGCAACTGTTTTCTTGGATGTATCTGGGTAAGAGTTAATGTTATCTCCGAGTCAAGAAGTCGCAAAAAGCTTGCCAATTCCTTAAGATCTAGCACTCACCGCCTTGTCGTCCTGGCTGTGCACATAGTGCAAGCCATTTGCAATCTTATCGGCCTCCAATTCAGCTGGCAGAGATGTTGCTAGCAGTCCGTGATGATGTGTCTGCGTTGGATGATGCACGATGTGCTCGACGGTGGTTAACGGCTGCTCATCGTGGACGCCCTCGTAACCGCGCGACAGCCCGTGGCCGGGCGAGAAATCAATGAAGGAGCTGGGCGTGGGCAGTTTAGTAGCAGCGGTGCTGGGCACCACGGGCAGCTCTTTGACATCGTTGTTGCCCGGCTCAACAATGGGCACATACTGCTTGGTCTTGGCCATGCCAATAAGTCGGCCCGGCTGCACGCCCAGCGAGCCGTGTTCCGTTACGGTCAAGGTCTTGAGTGTGGCAGTTGCTGGCGCCGGTTGCTGCTGCGGATGGAAGAGTATAGGCGCAGTGTTGTCCTGTGGGCGTGGATCTGGGATTTGAGCCTTTGGCTGTCGCTGCATCTTCGCCTGCATCTCCTTGGCCAGCAGATAGGTGAGCCCATGGATTTGATCGTCGGGTGACTTGCCAATCAGTGTGGACAGCTCACGAAACTCTGGCAGCTGCTTGTAATGCTCATTAATGCTATCCGCAGATGCGTGGTACTCGATCTTTATCATTGGCGCCGTAGAGGGACTGGGCTCCGCTTGAATATCATATTTGTACTGTTCAACGGGTCGACCGTAGATGGGATTGGTTTCCACCAGCTCTGATTGCAACGGATCCGGCTTGGATGGACGAAACTGTGGTGCCACATGTTGCAGCGACGGCTCAGCTGCAGCTTCGGGTGCGGCCAACTTGGCGCTGTAAGTGTGATGCACTTCCTCTGTAATGGGGCCGGCGGGCGCTGCTTCTTGCACCACAATGGGCTGTACTAAAGTGGGCGCGACAGGATAAACTTTGGCATAGTTGGGCTTGTACACATAACGCAGCTGCTCCACAACGGGCACGGGCTGTATGTGCACATGAACTGGCTCCACCGCCTTGGTGGCCACATACTTCATATACGCAGCTGGCTTGGGCACATATGAGACGGGCTTGACCTTGAAGTGCTCATAGTCGCTTTTCTGGGGCGGCAGATACTTGATATATGCCTTGCCGCCGTTCCCCTCCTTGATCAGCTGGGTGATGACCTTCTGCACCTCGTGGGGCAGAGCACTAAGTGACTTCTTCGACTTGATGTGTGTAGCAGGCGCCTCCTTGTAGATATACATGCGCTTGGACTCGGCTGCAGCCTCGCCAGACATGACCATGTTGTCATCGACGCGCGTCTCCTGTGTGCCACCGATTGCCGTTTGATTTTGAAGCGTCGGCGCAGCGGCTTCCATGGTCAGTAAGCTGGGCAATGTCAGCTGCTTGCTGCTACGCTGAAGCGACGCGGGCAGCGATGACTTTGCATCGGCCAGCTCAAACTTGAGCAACTGCAGCGGCGCCGAGCGCTTGGAGCGTTTGGTCTTGCGTGTACGCAGTTGGGACCTTGTAGTTGACCTCTCCCCTGGCGCTGGCTCCCTTTGCACATCCAAGGCTCTGGCGCGCTTGATCAGCTGTGCGGTAATTGCATCCGGCTCACGTGCATCCGTTGCCTCGAAAGGAATCATTTGTACCTTAAAGTTGGCCGGTTGGCGATTGCTGGCGGATCTTCGTGACCGATGTAGCTTCCGAGTCCTCCTGCTGCTGGCGGTGCTGCTAGCTGGCGGCTGTGCCGTGCTGCTGATAGCGGACTGTGCCTTGAGCGAGCGATCCTGATGCTGACGCAGAAACTGTTTCAGTTCCTGGCTGGGTTCTACCGCATCGCTGAGCTCAAAGCGCAGCATGCGCGGCGCAGTGGGCAGTTGGCGTTGCTCGCGCTTGGCGCGTGGATGAGCGAGCTGTGAGGGATTCGCTGGCTGCTCGTTGTACTGATTGAAGGCAGCTAAATAGCTGTCATCGTTTGGATTCTCAATGTGTCGCATGCTGCGAAAGTTGCGCTGATCGAAGTAGCGTTGCATATCCTAGAAAAAAATGTACATGAATTATATTGGGCAAAACAAATTATACTGGTTAAAATAATAAGAATAACCTGCTGCACATTTAACAGTATTAAGGTTTTATTAATGAGCTTAAAATAAATGTTGGTAATTTTTTGGGCAAACTTACCTCATAGCTGGCGAATGTGTCGAGCGAGGGAAAACGCTGCCAGTTTTCCAAGGCCTTGGTCAACGATAGATTCAGGCCAAGCAACAATAGCACCTAAAAGAAATGGAGAGTTGTTTACGTGCTTTACTAATTGATTAACTGCAATGTTGGCATTCAACTTGAGAGATCAAATAGCTGTGTTTTGCTATTTTGTGCATTTGTTGAACTTGCAATTCGCCAGAGTATTTATATTTATATTTATATTTCTCTTTGAGCGCTAAGCCCATAAATAAACCAATAAGCTGTCCACCTGCGCCTGCTGTCTGCCACTTTCACTTTCGACCGGCCAGGCCAAGTGCTTGCTACATTTGGACGAAAGCCGCTGCAACTGCCACCCGATGCTCGATTCTCGGTTGCAATAAACCCGTTGCGCACGCGCTGCAACCGTTGACCGTCTAGCTGTTTATTTGCGCCACGGGGTGCCCAGTCTCCCGGCCTACGTTACCCGTTCCCTGACCAACCCACCAGATCTGTCTGGCTTTTGGCAAGTTCATTCATGTGTCTGGTCCCACTTTCACATCAACCACATTGAACTTGCGGCGCTGCTTGGCTTGGCTTGGCTTTTATGGTCAGTAAACTTATTGACCAGTTTGTGGATTTCAAGCAGCATCGAATTGCACCGGCTAACTTTTGGCTTATGCAAGGCCACTTATGGTATCGCGACTATCTCAGGTTATGTAATCTCGGCCAAGCAGCCGTTGGGGCTTAATAAGTGATATTACATTTCTTTCTTTTCAAGAAAAACTGATCCTTAAATAAAATATTGTTTGTATATTATATAGTTTGCCAATTATTATTGCTTAACGAAATATGTTCAATCTGATAATTAATCTGATAAAAATGTGCGAGATAAGCTTAAAATCAAAACATGGGCCGCAAACAATGGCTCGCGAACCGACTCAACGGATAGTTTTGTTAGCTTTGTAGGCTTTAAATAAATATACTTATTTGCCTTGCTTCAGCTTATAAAACCAGCTGACCATATAAAAATAAAAATAGCTTTATAGATATCACCTGATTAAATCGTGGGGATTTTCATGCGCTGTGTTTCTGCCTCAAAGTGCCGTTATTCGCGCACACGGGACGTCGCGTTTCCGTATAGTCAATGGCCATTTAACTAAGCCCCGCGATCCAGATCCAAATGAACTGTCAACAGTCGTTAAAAATGCAACCGCGTAAACATTTAACGGCCGTTAAAACTGCGCCTGAGTGAATTTTTATGAACTTGCCAAGCAGTTTCCACCTCACCCACAGCCGTGCCACTTACTCTAGCTCATAGGGCACGCCTCTAATGCCCCTACCTGGGCTGCCAACTTGTCGCTCAACCGTTGAACCCAGCGCTCCACTCGTTGTTGTTGTTGGTGTTGTGTGTGGCGAGCCGAGCCCTGCACTCGTTATCCTTGTGGCTTCTGTCTCCTCCCCGCCCCTACCTCTCTTGACATAAAATTTAATGCGCTTTCTATTTAACACTTTGATGTTATGGGCAAATAGCGGGAGTTGGCGAAGTCGCAGGAGTGGCACCCAAGCGGATGGTCTCTGGGCGTGAAATGTGCTTTCGTTTCGTTTGGGACACGCGCGGGCAATTTTAAAATTCAATAGAAAACTACAATAAAAAATTGTTGCTATTCTGTGTTGTTTTTGGCCAAGTAATTGTTGTTTCACTGCACACTTTTTATGGCTTGAAAAGTGCTCTGAAAACTGGTTAAGAATTTTTTATGACTTCGAGGAGCGACAAAAGATTGTGAACATCTTTGTCCATATCCATCGCTTTATGGTTTTAAAGGATTTAGATTGAAAAACTTAGTTTTGGTTAGTTTGGTCGATATTCATTTTACTTTTAACATGTTTGTTTAATTGAATAAAATAAAAAATGTAACATATTCAAGCCAAATATTGATAAATGGAACTATATTGATAATCTACAAAGAAGAATGTAGATTCTTAATTTAAGCGCTAAGAGCCAACATTTTGATGTGAAAATAAAATTTAGTAATGTGATTTTACATTGTAAATAAGTTCTGCTAAACATTTCAAATCGGAACATTGATAATTTTTTATATTTGTTGTAATCAACATGTGTCCTATACTCCTATCTTATACTATGCTCCATCTGTCTTTTTACATAAATGGGTTCGCAAAATACCCATGTAAATCGGCTAAATCTTTCTAATTTCGAACTTTATTGGAATCATTTAATTTAAAATTCAAAAATGTTCTTGAGAGTTCTTTCAGTAGTTTTGGGTGTTAATTGGAAAGTCTTGCACATCCTTGGAGTTTTCTAGTGCAGTTTCGCAATTCATTGGCTGCTGCCTTGTTGTTTTGTTTGTGTTGGAGAACCACGAAACGCGTGCAGGCCTTTTTATTAACTTGTTGTTGCAATTGTTTTTGTTGCCTTAATTTCACTTGCAAATTGTTAGTTGTTTTTACTGCTGCAGCCTCAGCCAACAAGGCGGAAAAACGTTGCAAGACAGTTAAAGAAATTGGGCCAGGCAAAAGGCAAAACTTGGCTAATTGTTGCTGGCTGCATGCAACTGGCAAGGGGCGTCGCTCGTCGGGCGTGGGGCAAGTGGGGAGGGGCAGGCACTGTGTCCAGAGCTAGTCCAGAGTTCGATGTTGGCTGCACAGAACCAGTTTTTTCTTACGCTTTTTTTTATGTTTGTATTGCAGTACGTAACGAAAAACCAAAGTCAAGTTCAATGCACATAAAAGGCTGTTAGCGATAGGAGCCAGTGGTCAGGGAGCAGGGAGCAGAATGGCAGGGGGGCAGATGCATTTGTCTCAGTCCTGCCTGGTGCAGGAACTCGGGCCACAAGGAAACGCGCTGTTGGAAATGCACAAAAGAAATGTGAAAATTGCCGCAAAGTTTCCATCCATTTAAATTGCAAATTTCCAGTTTCGATTGCAATTGGCAAATGTTTTTCTTTTCTTTCTTTTTTCCTCCCATTCATTTTTTGCGCTTGTGTTTTCCATGAGAAGCTTTTGGATTCGGACCGTCTGTGGTTAGATAACCATAAACATTTTTATGAACGGGTGCCGAGAGGTCATAAAAGCAAATGCCACAGGAGTGAGTTTTGGCACATGCGAAACTTGCGCAACACTCGAACCGAATGGAATCGCAACGCAACGAATGAAATGAATGCAGCGAATGAATGAAATGGAAAGCATTTCGAATATTTGCTTTATGTTTTTACGGCCCATAATTAAATGAGTGCGGCCAACATTAAATCTATCGCAAAAAAAACCAGTACAATTGTTATTGTTGTTGTTTGTTTTCCGGCTAATTGAAGTTCAAGTTTCCGACATTTGTACAGGTAAAAACTCAAGAGTACTCAATGTACTTCCGTGTGGGAGGAGTAGATATGTGTAAATAAATTATACAGAATGCCCAGACATATGGAACGTCAATTTCCGCTGCTTCAATAAGGCCCATAACTGTATTTTTAAGCAGTCGGAAAACTGTAGCGCTGAGGCGGAAAAGCGCATCACCTGCAGCATTTTAAGTATTTTTCAGCATTTTTCCAGCTCACTCATGACAATGGGTCGTTGAGGCGTTTAATGAAAACTTTTCGACACTGGATTTTTCGGACTCTTGTCGTTTTCACGCCTCAATTGCAGTTGTAGCAGCAGTTGCTGTCAGCCCGCCCTGCCGCCCCACGTCCGCTCATTTACCTGTTATTTATGTGTGTATATTATAATTTTTGGCTCAACCTTTCGTACTCACCATGCATATGGGACCGCTGCTGGGGCAGGCGCCAACTGCAGCGCCGTTTGCCATTTTCTTTGCGCGCGTTTTGCGTGCGACTTTTGTCGCTCGGCTGTCGTCGGAAGTGCGACAAATGAGGCGTCAAGCTGTACGTTCAACGATGTGGCAGCTCAATTTGCAACGTTGTTCCCTTTCTTGTTGTTGTTGTTGTCGTTTTTTATGGCTCACTTTTTATGCAAATTTTAATTAGCCTATAAGGCAAGTGCAAAATACTTTAAAGTATTATGGGCGCTTTCGTTTTAAATAATCATATATAATCAGCATGTAAATTCAGTTTAATAGTTTTCTTTTTATTCTTATTAATTTTTTAATTATGCGACTTGTGTTTATTTTATTATGTTTCTTCTATTACAATTTTGGCTTAATTTACATGTTAAACGTTTTACTTTTTATATTAAACTAAGCAACTTTTGTATAAAATATATTCATTTTAATTTTATATTTATACAAATTGTTGTCCTTGGCTTTTGTCCTTCTTCACTTCATAAAATGTATTATAAATTTTTCAAAATAATTTTTATAGATTCCTTTGGCGAGCATTCACGAAAAACAAACTCTGTCTATTTAATTTAACTTTAGCTTTGAGCTTTGTTTAAACTTGGTCCGCGCCAGTCGTCGCTATGGCGGCCGCTTCGTTCGTTTCTCATTTATTTAATGCGACTTTTAATTTGAGTTGAGTTTTCTTTTGTTTACTTTTGGCGCTGCCTTTTCAAACTTGGAGGAAAACCGCACGCTTGCGCGCTGTTGCTGCAACTGTGCCTCAAATTTTCGCGCCACTTCAGTTTTGTGTGTGCTTGCAGCCTCGCCATTTCCACCAAGATCTCAGCCAGTTTTTCAGTTTTTCCAAAACTCGTCGTCGCTGTCGTCGTAGTTGCAGTTGTCGCTGCTGCAGTTGTTGTTATTGTTGCTCTTGCTGCTGTTGCATTTTTCATTAATTTTTTTTTTCGAGAGAGTTTAAGAAGAGGGCATAATTAAATGCTGATGCGACATGGCATTGAGCCAAGCATTTCCGAATTTATTATACAAATTATAATTTGAATGCATATGTATGAGCTCGCCCGCCCCTTAGCAAAAATATGCATGCAATCAAATAAAAAATTGTTAATGTGGCGACTTTATGTTTATATCGTATTTAATTTATTTCAATTTAATACTATTTTTCTCCGTTTTATTTATTTTCCTAATGTACTACAGATAAACGCTAGTTAATATATATTTATAGTGCTTAAGAAGATAAATATAATAAATAAATATATACTAAAACTATTTAATATATTTCATATATGCTAACAAAGCTTAAATAAAATTAATGTATTTGTCTGATCCTATTAAAATCTTCTTAAAATATTTTAAAGGATATGGTAGGTAGGATATGATAATAGAATATGATGATAGGTCATAAGTATGATTCAATTTGAAAACTGAAATGATATCAATTAGAATATTTAAGAAAAAAATCTTGAATCAGATCTGATTTGAATACTCTAATTAAGTATAAAAATAAGAGCATGCAATATTCGTCTATCTGCACTAACTAACTCAACACTTGTTTATTGCGTGCATTTTGAGCGGACGGTCGTCTGTATTTGTCTTTTGGCGAGTCGCATTTTTGGCCATGGCTTTGGCCAAGTGCCTGCAAACTTTTGACCATAAACTTTTCGTTGTGCGAGCAGTTGTTATTGTCGTTGTCGTTTGTGTTGTTGTTGTTGTTGTTATGACTGCCGCTAGTGTTGTTTATGATAAAAAAATGTATAAAGATATTTACGCGGATTTGCGGCTGGTTTTAATGCGTTTTGGCTGAGCTTAGTTGCATAATTAATTTGTTAATTACAACAAGTTGATTATATTTGCCGCATGCTCCACGCATTTCCTATGCGATTCAGCGACACCCTTTGCATGTCTGATTATATGATTAATAGGAAGAATTTTGAATGTTGTGGCCAGGCCAGGCCAGGCAATTGGCAAAACAATTGGCACAGGCTCGCGCGCGCCATGTGAAAGTTCAACGCTTATGCAACAGGCAGCCGCAGAAAAACAAGGCACAGCCAACACGTTGCAAGCCGTCGCAGCCACGCACGCGCCGCGCCTGATGAAGTAGCTGGCAGATTATTTTTATTGGAGGCAGCCGCAATGAGATTGCTAGAGGTTTCGACTTGAGTTATCGTTGTGGCGCATCTGCGGCGACAGCGACGATTAGTGCAAGTTTTGGCGCCGAAATATAGTCAATGATTACGGCCAGAGGAGGCGGTAGATACTTTCACATGGCTATTGTGGCTGAGGAGGGGCTGGTGTACGTTGCATTCGTAATTGAGTTATTAGGGTAAGAGTTATGAGAAAGACAGTGGTGTAGTCAACAAGGGGCACAGATGAGTCTTATGGAAGGGATTTTAGGAGGGATCGATAAAATTATCGATAAATCTTAAAATTACAATTTGTTTTTTATACCCGGAACCCATTAAAAATGGGTATAAGGGTATATTTTATTTGTGCAAAATCCAAATGTATGTAACAGGCAGAAGGAAGCATCTCCGACCCCATAAAGTATATATATTCTTGATCAGCAGCAATAGCCGAGTCGATCTACCCATGTCCGTCTGTCTGTCCTTCCGTACTTACTCCGTTTCCAAGCAATCGATAAATAATAAGAGCTAGAGTCACGAAACATGATATGTTGCTTCTAAAATAAAATGTATATATGCATTTGATGTTGGAAGAAGACGGTTCAGGGTATCCCCTAGTAGGGAGCTCCCGACTAGAACCTCTTACTTGTTTTTAATAAATAAATGTGAATTCTGTCTGCTGCAAGGTGTTCTGTAAGTATTTGTATGTATAGTCTTTTAGGTAATGCCGAAGTTCTCTTTAAACATTGGTATAATTATTTTTGCATAAAGAATTTTTGGATATTTGTTCATATTCCATTATAATGCCTGACAATTTCTTAAGATTTCTTCTAACTAGACCTAGCCCAAGTCATCTCGAGCAGTTCTCTTACGTCTCAGAAAATAACTGCTCACATTCTTTATTGGAATGCCCCCTCATAATTCCGACCCAGTACGCTCTGAGCCCCATAATTGCAGTAATCGTGGCAGATTTACAATCTCGTAATAAATTCAAGACACACACACGGACACAGATGCTCATTTGGAGGCAAGAAATAAACTGATGCTAACCCATGTTCGTCCGCCCCCGCTGCCCCCTCTGCCCCTCTTGCAGCGTAGTCAGTTGTTGCAGTCGCAGCTGCAATAGGCGGAAATCTCACACAGAAAGTTGCATGCGGATGCAGTCGTCGTCGCCGTCGTCAGCTCTGCTGGTGCGGAAGTTTAACCAACTAACAAAGTGACTGAGACTGAGCTTGAGATGACAACGGAGACGCAGGCCAAACACTTTCCTATAAAGCAGCCCGCCCCCTTCTAACACAACAACGCCTAACGCATTGCAGAGACAACAACAACAACAAGTAGAAGACAAACATTCACATCCATGTGGAACCGGAGGGAGGCGACATTTTGTGGCCAAATGTGTTTTGCTTGCTGTTGACGCTGAGGCCTAGTGCGTGCGATTTAATTGTCGGACATGTGGTTGATGCATGGTCATGGTCCAGTTTTGACAATGGGACCAGTCGTTGCCAAACCGCCAATGCGCCAGTCGCATCCACTTAATCGCCGCTAAATTGTTTTGTAATTTTTGATATTTTTAAACTTGGACAGTTGGTCATTTGGCTACGAGGAAATGGCTGCGGTTTTATTTGGCGCTCATACTTATCTATCTGGTCAGTCAATGCCGATGCGATCGGTTTGTAAATTTTAATTGAGCCGTCGAACGCTTCCTTCATTGCCAGCCTGGATGCTTGGATGCTGCCACGTTGGTTGCTGTTGCCTTAATTGTCTGCCACTTCCCGTTTTCGTGGTCGCCCGAACAGCCCCGAAATCTAATTACGCCACAGCCACATAGCCAGTGTGCCCAGCGCAGCCCAAAAACCAACGAGCGCAGCAAATTGACAATACAATAAACGTGGCCAAACAGCACGAACGGGGAGGCGGTATCGGGGGTTTCACTGGCAACGACTGCAGGCGTTTATGGATGAGGCGGCGGTGGCAGATGAAGGGGACTGTCACACATGTGCGGCAGTTTCTGATTTATGAACACAATTTCCAGTTTGACAATGAGCCGAGTAGATGGCACCCGCTAGGTCGACCGCCTCATGCTCGGATCGGGATTCAGTTACGAATTCGCCTGGCACGGGAAGTTGCCAAAGTCCTTTGCTATCTGGGCGACAATGCAGGCCAGTTAGTTTATGGCATCGCACTTTGCCCATTGCTAGGTGAGTTATGTTAATTGAGATTTTCGAGCCGATATAATAAGAAATAGCAGCTGCGCCTGACCAACGTTTAAAGGTCGTCTCCTAGCAACTGCTGCAGTTGCCGCCCCAGGATGCTCTTCCCTATTGTACGCATTGCCCAACTAGTTGGTCAATGCTTGGTCATATTTCAGGACTAATCTGCCAACTCGATTGTCACTGAACTCACATAAAAATCAGCAGCAAAAGCGGTCGCCAGACAGAGCGGAGGACATACGGAAACGATAGCACGACAAAAGAGTTGCTTAAGGTGGTTGAAATTCACTTGGACTAAGGCAAGTGAGAAAATATTGCAACTATGTAACAATTATATTACTTATTATTTTATTATGATTTTTCTATTAATTTTTACCAAACCTCCTTTTTACATTTTAATTTATTTCCTAATATATTTATATTTGAAATAAATATTTTTTTAAATATGCATATTTTTCAAACTTATTTGTCAGAATTTCTAAAAAATGTTCAACTAATTAAGAAGAATATATATAATCGTTGTTATAATAAAAATGATGAGTATGAGTTTAAATATTTATGTTAATATTTACGAATTTTTTGTATAGAAGAATATGCTGTAACTAGCACAATATTTTTATAGCATTTATGAGACAAAGGTCACTTGCATAACAAAGTTATCGAGATCGGAATTCAAAAT